CCGGAGTAATAGAAATTGATATGGGCTAGTGAACAAGATAAACTAAACATGAATTAGGGACTGAAGGATTTGATAATAGTCGGCATCGTGAGAATTTCAAGGATCGCGTTCCGGCAATAATAGAATGGACAATAGAAGAATATCCTTTAAAGGTCATTCAGGAAAACACTTCTTTAAAGCAAGCACTGTGAGCAGAGTTAAGCTTAAGGGACTAAGTGTGCCAGTTACACTAGGTGGCCCCCTCATGTGTAAGAAATTCAGTTATCCCTAGTACATAAGGGTTACCACAAGGTGAGTAAGAGTCATTGAAGATGTGAAAAGACACCGAAGATGAAGAGGTAAAACATCTATAGGTAAATATTCATAGCATTAAATGTTAGTTCTCCCCAAAATAAGGGGGGAGATGGTGTGATATGGTATTAAGTAGGAGTTAAGTGGTTCAGGTAACTATGGAATAGTAAAGGAAGAATACGGTAAAAAGACTAAAGGGATGAGATTGCACTTATTCAAATCCTACAGATATGTTAGGACCCCATAACATCACGCAAGCACGATGTCGGGGAGAGGCAATAAGGGATCCCGGCCAGGATGTTATTGATAAATAAGTGCGAATGAATACTTGATACATAAGGAGCCAATGCTAGAGGTAAGTTAAGACAAAGGAAACAACCCTAGAGAGATTATGTGGAATATAGATATGAGAATGGACCAATAAGTAGTTAGTAGTTGATTCAGGAAGAGCCTAGGTATGGCTAGACAAGAGGATACAGATAAATCAATAGATCGTGCACGATAAACCTAGTGAACCCCAACATAGGGAATTTAGTCTTGCAGATACGACATCGTAATCCTTGAGAAATATTCATATAAGAGTTGAGGTAGTTATATTTGTCGTATAGGTGTAATAAAAATAAAAGAGAGTGCCACGAGGGAGACAATAAAAAAAATTGAATTCAGAAGTAACCCTACGAGCACAAGGGCACTAAGGTAAGTAATTAAGAATAATTATAGGAGAGTAAGAACATCGAAAATTCCTTCAGGTATACGATGTAATAAGCTCGCAGCTTTACAGGAGTCATAGGGTTTTCCCTAAGTACTACAACAAAAGACTAGCTGAGGAAATAAGGAAGAAGGCTTCAACCTAAGCATAGTAACCTGAAGAAGAAATGGTATTGTAACAATAGTCTCACAACATTGTATGCGCTCCATAAGAAAGTGGCACCTATCGTGGCTAATGAACGGGGAAGTAAAAAAAATCAAAAGTAATATTCGTGATCATATGAGTTTCACAATATTCCAGCATGCTTGGGAACTAAGATAAGCCTAAGTATTCATGCAACAAGTGCCAGAAAGAGCAAGATAAGTAATTGCTTGCATTTAAAGAAAGCTGAGAAGGCACGAAAGGAATTATTCGATAAATGACCCAGAGTTAGTTATGTTATGAACACACTTAAGATTCTGAGTATTATCCATGCAGCATAGATGTTTCCATTCGTACAACTATAAGATAGTCCAGTATAAGTTAAAAGACAGAATTGACTCCACGTCACAGACAAAGGCTTAAAATATTAGAAGGTTATATCATGGATGTTTCATAGCGCCCACAAAAGGCTAAAGTAATAACTAATACCCTGATCCGCAAATCGGAAGATAGCTTAAGCCTACTTAAAGGCTGAGAGAGAAGAGGAAACTAAAGAGTTACATCAGCTAAGTAAATCAGGAGTCTGATTATTAGATCTAGATAATTATAGAAATCGTGATTCAGAACTTTGCAGAATCACACTTAATATCAGAGGTACAAGAGAGATAGTACAACGGCCATATTCTATAATGGCTCTACGATAAAGCCAGTTAGAAGAGTGACAACCTCATCAGAGGTACAAGTACTATAGTGGAGCTTTAAGGTGTGGACGTGAATTCCACCTATGTGGAAGAAAGGTTATGAAAGTGACAGAAGATACAATGCAAGATTTAAAGATGAGAAAGGTAAAGGTAAAGAAGGTATGAGATACTTAAGTGCAAAAGGTTGTGAATAGTCTAGATCTTAGATAGAGGGCTAGAAGCACCGTGATTTAGTATTTGGTGTCATCAATGGCATATCTTCCAGCCTATGGTTTCCAGGTATCAAGAGGTCTAGTTAAGAGAGTAATGAAGAGTTAGATACGACGTGATGTCTCACTTGAGGTTCCAGAATAACATAAGGAAATCTATGGTGCTAGCAATTTAAAGGAAGGTCACGAGTAGTATAAATAGAAAAGATGGAATGCTGCCTTGGTAGTACAATGAGAGTGTAATTGTGATAAATGATAAGTGAATGACGTTTAGGCGTTTGATTGAGTAATGATTTAAATAAAATGGGTTTCATGAATTGCACAGGATTAGAATGCCCCCATAAGATGAATCACATTGGGATGCTATGAAATACGGTTATTGAAGTATAGTATCGCCCCTACGTGGATCAGGCTAATCACTTCAGATATTCCCCAATGAGACGTGAGCCCTAGTGACAGTGTTACATAAGAGGTTTCAAGTTATCAGTGGTAGATTACAGATCAACACTAAGGTAAATCATTCCTCGGAGTTACCAGGTCTACTCCTTGGAGTCCATTTTCTATATACAGGTTTGATGGGTAGGTTGAGGCCTTGTCTCGACCATGATACATTTTTATTATCTCTAGAGGCTTGTAGATGAGTCATGTATATTTTGTATGTTAGTATTGTGGCCTTGCTAGCCATGTGTGCATGTTTAGTTTGGTATTGCTAGTTGTAGACATTCCTGCAGCCTCGTCGGCCTGCACAATTATGTATATGAGCTTTTGGGTATGTTTACCCCTGAGATGAGAGAGACGTTATTTTCAGATGATTAAGAATATGGCCTCATCGGCCTAAGTTGAGGGTTACCCCTCCAGAATTCACAGTTACAGAGTGGTACGCTCGGGCCGAGTATGGAATCGGGTGCCGGCCATGCCTCTTCAGGTTTGGGCGTGACAGTCGTGTTTCCTCCTAATGCACGGACATTCACATTCTCGTCTTTTATTTTTTCTTTGGCTTTCATTATTGCCTCATAAATATATTTCATTTCGGATCCGAGGGACGATGTATTATCTTGTCCTTTATCAGTCAAAAATTATCACAAGGCCTCAAAAACTTTATTCTCATCGGGCTTACATTGTTAGTGGAACACGTTATTCAATATCAATGGTATCCGATCGTCAAAGAAAACTGACCCAAACAATGTCCAAAATGTTTCCAATGTAACACTGTCACAAATATTTTGGAACTAAAAAATGCAGCAATAATGGCACTAAGGTAATAGTAAAGGTGAACGAAACAGTAGTAAGGCATCCATGTCCTGACCAACAGATTAACGGAAAACGGAGGACTGTCGTCGAACTTCAGTCGAACCCCCACAAAAGAGAACAATTTCAAGCTTAGTTTTCCCTCCCTAGCCAAACATAGATACAAGGCTAAGAATCTATCCAGTCAATTAACCATAGATATGTAGAATCATAGGCAAAAATGAGAGTGCAAAACAACAGCCACCGAAAAAAGCACAAAGCAGCTGGAAAATGTGAATCCGATCAAACCTGCCAAAATCCGATCAAACGAACAAACCATTCTTTTAGAACTCATTTTTTGTTTATAACAGCACATAAATGAAGAAATAAAAGTATAAAAGAAATAGGTCAGCCGGAGTTCATGGAGGCCTTAAACGGGTTTTCCTACCAAATCGCCGGAGTAATCAAAATCTCATAAACGTTGCCATCGTAGGACAGTAGCGTAAAAGCGACAGTGGCAATGCATCTTTTAGCTTTTCACCAGAAGGTTGCCAGAAAATAGCGAAGAACGGCCAGATCTGGTCTGCATAGTTGGTCACCGGCAATGAAGAACCATAATAACAGCAACACCATAAGAGAGTGAGAAACAACGAGAACCTAAAAAATGAAACCAATCAGCCGGTAATCACCTCTGGTGGTGGCTCTGTAACGGTAGCCACGCTGGAACAAAAGGGGACGGGAGAGAGATGGAGTATGAGAGATAGTGAGGGTGAAGAACAGTGATGGGGGAGGGGCCATCACAGTCGCCGGATTTTGGCAGTGTCGCCGGCACAAAGGGAGAGCGTTTTTCAAGAGAGAGGCGACTGCTTCTCTTGTCTCTCCAAAAGAAATGAGAGAAGTCCCTCCCAAATCTGATGCACTTTCCCATTTATTTGTACTAAAACGTTTATTTATTACCCAATGTGTAATAGTACACTTTTTTTGGCCATTGTATGAAAAACTACCATCATTGTATTATGTTATGTCACATCAATGCATTGTCAAATCATATGTATTATCATGTCAATGTCATGTCGCATCAATGTTTAGTCATGTCAGGGTATCTTGTCATATCGAATGTCATGTCACATCGGGTTTGACTGAACTTGATCCATATTTTAAAGTAAATTCTGTTGGCTTCCACGTAATTACTAGATTGTGATATAAATTTAAAAATTAATTATTTAATTCAGAAATCTTGTAGTATTTATTTAAAATATAACTACTACGATCGTGTTGTAGAAATAATCTTTTTTAAAAGGCAATAAATTGATAGAATGCCCTAATATTTGAAAAATAGGACAATTATCAATAAATTATTTGAAATTTATGAAAATGCACAAAAACGGTAATATTTAACTAATTGCAATAAAATGATAGAAATTTTCATATTTTTTGAAAATAGGAATAATTATCAATAAATTGTATTAAAGCTAAATAAAGTGCGAAAACTATATTTTTATCATTTTTTGATTAGGAAGCCTAGAGAGGTTAATTTTAAATATGGAGGGTCAAAATTGAGTGTCCACAGCTATTGTACACGTGCTCAAGATTTAGAGGCACTACTCATATGGCGTGTCTTGTAAGGTGTATATGATCACTAGAGTCTTTAACATCTATCCAAGCAGAAGGATTTGAACTTGAGGCAACGGAGGTGGTTGGAGCTATTGAAGGACTATAATATCACCAATCTTTATCATCCGAGTAAGGTCAATTTGGTGGTCGCGCCTTGAGTAGGAAGGCAGAGAGTATGAGGAGTCTTGCTTTTATTCCAGCCGTGGAGAGGCCTTTGGCTATGGACGTTCAGGCTTTGCCCAACAGGTTCGTGAGATTGGATATATCGGAGCCTAGTAGATTTCTGGCTTGTGTTGTATTTTAATCATCCTTGTTTGAGTGCATCAAGTCGCGTCAGTGTGCAGAGAGGTGGTGCCAAGGATGTGACTATTGGTGATGATGGTATGTTGCGGCTTCAGGGCCGGATTTGTGTGCCTAATGTGGATGGGTTATGGGAGCTTATTCTTGAGGAGGCCCATAGTTTGCGGTATTCAATTCATCGGGGTGACACAAAGATGTACCATGATTTGAAGCAGCATAATTGGAGGTGGAGGATGAAGAAAGACATTGTTGGTTACGTTGCTCAGTGTTTGAATTTTCAGCAGGTCAAGTACGAGCATTCGCGACCTGGTGGTTTGCTTCAGAGGCAAGATATACAGGAGTAGAAGTGGGAGTGTATCACTACAGATTTTGTGGTTGGGCTACCACGGACCTTGAAGATATTTGATGTTGTTTCAGTAATTATGGACAAACTGATCAAGTCTGCACACTTCGTTCTATTCATGACTGTCTAGACATCAAAGCAGTTGGCTTGGATTTATCTTAGAGAGATTGTTCGCATACAAGGTGTACTTGTGTCTATTATCTCGGATCGAGGCACTCAGTTTACATCATATTTTTAGAGAGCAGTGCAATATGAGTTGGGCACACAAGTCGAGTTGAGTATGGCATTTCATCCCCTAATAAACGGGCAGTCTGATTGAACCATTCAAATCTTGGAGGACATAGTGAGAGCATGTGTCATTAATTCTGGGGGCTAGTAGGATCCGTTTCTATTGCTAGCACAGTTTGCCTACAACAACAACTACTAATCAAGTATCCAAATGGCTTCATATGAGGCCTTATATGGGAGGTGATGTCGTTCTCTGTTTGGTTGGTTTGAGCCTGGGAGTCTAGGCTATTGGGCACTAATTTAGTTCATGATGCTTTAGAGAAGGTGAAGTTGATTCAGGAGTGGCTTCGTACAGCGCAGACAAAGAAAAAGATTTATGTTGATAGGAAAGCTCGTGATGTGCCATTGATGGTGGGTGAGAAAGTTCTACTCAGTGTTTCACCCATAAAGGATGTGATGAGATTCGGTAAGAAGGTCAAGTTGAGCCCTTGGTATATTGGTCCATTCGAGCTGTTGGAGAGAGTTGGTGAGGTGGCCTACAGACTTTCTTTGCCATATGGCTTATCGGTATATTCGTTGTTTCATGTTTCCATGCTCCAAAAATATTATGAGGATCTGTCACATGTGTTAGATTTCAGCTCGGTGCAGTTGGACAAGGATTTAGCCTATGTTGAGGAGCCAGTGGCCATTTTGGACAAGCAGGTTCGAAATCTGAGGCAGAAGAATATTGCATAGGCGAAGGTTCAATGGTGAGGTCAACCGGTCGAGGAGGCAACTTGGGAGACCAATAATGATTGTAGAGCTGATATACTCATCTTTTTTATATCCCAGGTATGATTCTAAACTCGTTCGAGGACAAATATTTGTTTAAGAGAGGGAGAACGTAACTACATGGCCGATTATTTTGTATATTTGAGCCTCGTTTCCCCATATAAAGCTTCCCGTATGTGTATTTGTTGTTATGTGACTTACGGGGATAGTTGATTTGGTTCCGGCGAGATTTTAGAATGAATTGGAACACTTAGTTCCAAGGTTGAAAGCTTAAATTATAAGAGTTGACCAAGGCTTGAATTTTATGCTAATGACTTCAGATTCATGTTTTGAGAGTTCCAATAGGTTTGTATGGTGATTTTGGACTTAGGCGTATGCACAAAATTTAATTTGGAGGTACCTAGGATGATTTGGCTCGTTTTGCCGAAAGTTGGCAATTTAAAAGTTTAGAAATTTCTTAAGTTTGAACTGGGTTGACTTTGTAGCTATCATGTTCGCATTGTTGTTTCGAGACTTGGAATATGTCCATTTTGCCATTTATAACTTGTGTGCAAAGTTTGGTGTCATTACGAGTTGGTTTGGAAGGAATCAGACGCTTGGTTGTAAAAATCGGATGCTTGGTTATTCGATTCATGGTTTCATATGTTATTTTCATGCTTCGAGCTTGAGAACGAGTTCGTATGAGGTTTATGTACTTTTGTTGATGTTTGGTGTAGGGCCCAAGGGGCTCATATGAGTTTCAAAATTATTTTGAAGTCTTTTGGTTAAGCTTCAAATTTGCTGGTGCTATCGACCTCGCATTTGCGATGATTTGTTCGCATGTAAGGCCCCGTAAAATTTTGTAAAGGAACTCATGGTTTTCGTGGTGCCGAAGTTAGCTTACGTGTTTGAGGATTGAACAATGCAGTGGGGAGTAAAGGAAAAACTTTCGGCAGAAGAAGACATTTCTGCGGCCCACTATGCAGTCGCAGAATCACTCTGCGAACTGCATAATAGCCGCAGAGTGCATCAGAGGCGGGGCAAGCTTGGAGGAAGGTTTGCGGCGCATTATGCTACCGCATACCAATTATGTGATGCATTATGCGATCGCAGAACAGGTCTGCGGACCGCATAACGCCTGCAGACTGAAACAGTGTTGCCCATTTTCGGAGGGCCTTTTCGTGACCCATTATGCGGGCCGCATAATGATTCTGTGGTACGGTCTGCGATCGCAGACCCGGTTTCGGCAAGTTTATGTTTTGGAAATTTTACTCGATCCCATTTTAATAAAACGGCTTTGGGGATCATTTTTAAGGGTTTCATCTGATATTTTTAGAGAGAGGTAAGATTATCTTAGAGAGAGAAAAAGAGAAGACCTAGCCATTATTTTATCAATTCTTCCTCAAGGATTGAAGATTTCACAAGGATCTTGTTAGGGCTTCAAAGAGGTAAAAATTTCTTTCTTCAATTTCGAGCTTGGGGTAAAAGATGGGTGATTGGGAGTATGATTCTTAGGTATGAGAGTATTATATATATATACATGTACCAATAAGATTTGTGGGAAGATTGTTGAGCTCAAATAAGTAAAGATTAGATTGTGGAATGAAGAAAATCTTGTAGAAGAACCTTGTAACCAAATTTGCACACCTAGTGTTTGATAAAATGCTCAAATGAGCTGAAACCATGAATATCTTCCTAATTTGTATTCAATTTTGTTATGTCTCAAAATATATTTGGATTTCTAGGATTTTCGGAACGTTGTAGTAATTTAAGGAAAGCTCAAAGCGAGGTATGTTGGCTAAACTACTCTCTTAGGATCGAATTCCATAATGTTCCCGTAAGTTTCAAGTATTGTTGGCTCAAGTTCCTAATTCCTATGTTCCGGGTTATCCCTTATAAACTTGACTATTCCGAATGAGCCTTATGTCAAAATATATATGTTCAAAGTGTTGATTGCGTATTAAAATATTATGGCTTTGTGTCGTGTTTCAAATGAAAGCTAGTATGTCAAATTGTGTGAGAAAAACTCGATGTGCCAAACACTCTTAATTGCCCATCTAAAGTCTTGATTGGAAATATCTTGTTGTTGATAATTTATAATGATGCTTGAAAATGAAATAAGTGAATTGGGCCAACGTGCCAAGAATGAAAGTTATACTTGTGGATAGTGGTGCTAATGAAATAACATGATGTGAGAAAGATTATGAAATGGGTTTTGATTCAACTGTTCCAAAATTATTTCAAGAAAAAGAATTGCCTAAAAGCTTATGTACTCAAGTCATGCCCATATGTAGCTATTTTAAATAATGCTATGCTTTGTAAGTATTTTCAATGTATTTTGCGTTCTTACATATTCGTGAGTGAGAATTGTGTATTGCCCTTTTTGCGGGGGAAAAGTATTTCAAGAATAAATGGTATTCTACTTGTTTATGATTTTAACTTGCTCATCGATTGCCAATCATTTTACTCTATGTCTTGAAAAGAAATCTATTGTGTTTAAAGCCTCTATTTCTAATGAACTTAAAGTTGTGATTTTTGGAATATTATAATTGTTGATACTTGTGATGATGATCCATGGGAGGAAAGATAGGAAAGTGTGGAGCTGAAATACGGTCATCGTGCCTTGAATAAAGAATCTTGTGAATGGCCAAAAGAGCCAAGGAAATATTGTTGTTGTAAATGGTTGAAAATAC